GGCGACAGAGTGAGACTCCAACGCAAAAAAAAAAAAAGTAAGAGGAAGTGAGAGAGCAAGAGATGGCACCCCCAGCCTCAAGCCCTTTTATAATGAACATTAATCCAGTCATGAGAGTGGAATTCTCATTACCTAAACACCTCCCATTAGACCCTACCTCCCAACACGGCTGCATTGGGATTACATTTCCAACAAATGCTTTTCTGGGAGGATATGTTCAAACCACAGCAGTGCTGAATAAAACCTTGGCTTTGAAGCCATCTGAAGATTTGTTTTGTGTGTTCACATAGTCTGAGTATCTCAACATTTTTAACAGGAATTTTCAGGCTTCTCTACAAGCAGACTAGGAACCAGTGTTAGCACGTGTTCTCCATATACAAAGTCTTTTTATCTTTCAAATTGCAAATGAAGGTAACCAATAAATATTTGCTGAATTTTATCATTCTGTTAACCTTCAGATTCAGGCTTGTCAGTAATTACTGGCTTGCATTAAAAGCAGGAGATTAGAGATTGAGGTCCAGAAAGGATAAATGATTTGCTCAGAGGCATGTAGAATAACCAGGTTCCTTGTCTTCCTATCCTCTTTTTCTGCTACACCTTGTCCCTCGACAAAAGGTGATTGGCCTGATGACAGCCATTTGTCTGGTGAGAGAGGACAAAGGTAGGACTTTGAAGCACAGCACCTGGGCCCACCTTGGCCTATTTTCACAGTCCTGCCTTGTCAAATCTGGCAGCTTTAGAAAGACTCACTCGGTGATCTCTGTCTTGAACAATTTCATTAAGTACTTACTGTATACATGTACCCTGCTGTGCCCCTCAGGATCCCATCTGTAGCAAAACAGACCCGACCTCTTCTCCGGGAGCTCACAGGTTAGTGAGGGAGACTGAGTCACAGGAAGCAGACAATAAACAAATACTTCCTGGCATAATGGAGGCAAGTGTTCTGCAGGAAAAGCCATGCTGCTTGGGGAGAATACAGCAGGGGGCTTAGTTTAGATTGGGGGTTAGGGAAAAGTAGAAGTGGGGGTGTTAAAGGCTTTTGCAACAGTGAATCATTTTACATATGCGAGGGAAATAACAATAATAAAGGTGCTTGGAAGGGCAGCTCATCCTCATTCATGGGCCACTTCCTAGAACTCTGGGAATCTGCCTCTCTCTGCAGAACACCGTAGGCTTCCAGGTTCAGAGCTGGAAAGGCCTTCACAAATGCTAATCTGAGCATTTTATGGATTGCCTCCCGACTCTCTGCATCCTCATCCTCAACTAGACCCAATGCAGAGGTGAATGGGAGGGAGGAGGAATGGCATTTGTAGTTGGGAGGGAAAAGGGGGGAGGTGGGGAAGCCTTCCCACCTCAATCCTGGGATCGGTTCCCTCCTCCCAAACAAGCCTAAGGAATGTTTTTTCAAGGCAAAATACCACCTCACTGTGTACTTGGTTGTAAAGGGGCTGCCCAGGAAACCCAGGTTGTTCCTGGGGAGTTTGGGGAGGAGGGGGAGGGACAATAATGTCTGGTCCCATCACTCTCCAAATAAACCCACCAGCAAGAAAGCCTGACTAGGCTGGGTGCAATGGCTCATACCTACAATTCCACCACTCTGGGAGGTCCAGGTGAGAGGATTGCCTGAGCCCACGGATTTAAGACCAGCCTGAGCAACTTGGTGATACCTCATCTTAACAATAAATCAAAAACAAACAAACCAAAAATTAGCTGGGCATGGTAGCGCGTGCCTTTAGTTCCAGCTACTTGGAAGGCTGAGGTGGAAGGATCACCGTAGCCCAGCAGGTGGAGGCTGCAGTGGCTGCGAGCGTGTCACTGCACTCCAGCCTGGGCAATAGAATGACTCCAACTCAAAAAAAAAAAAAAGAAAAAGAAAAAAAGAAAAAGAAAGAAAGCCTAACTAGAGAGAAGTGAGGATTTGATAGTGGTGGTGGGATGACAGTGAAAATGCTGCTGCTGGTGGGTAGAAAGAAGAATGTATCATGATTTGGTAGTAATAATAATAGCTGACACACTTATAATGGGTTGGGCACCGTTCTATGTGCTTTCTTTCTTTCTTTCTTTTTGAGTTGGAGTCTCACTCTGTCACCCAGACTGGAGTGCGGTGGCCCCGGCCACCGCAGCCTCGACCCGCTGGGCTCCGGCGATCCTTCCGCCTCAGCCTTCCAAGTAGCCGGAACTACAGGCGCGCGCTACCACACCCGGCTAATTTTTGCTTTATTGTAGAGATGAGGTCTCGCCAAGTTGCCCGGACGGGTCTCGAACCCGCGGACTCAGGCAATCCACTCACCTCGGCCTCCCAAGTCACGCTGGGATTACAGGCTGAGCCACCGAGCCCGGCCCTATGTGCTTTCATGACACTCATTTCTCAAAACAACCTATGAAGTGAGCGCCATTACTAACTCCATTTCACAAGTGAGGAAACTGAGGCACAAGAAAGTAAGTAGTGGTAACAGCTTTCCTTTTTGCCTCCAACAGTCGGGAGTCAAAGCTTCTGAGCCGAAGTTGGGTACATTGGATCTCCAGGAGGGGTGGACAGCAGTTCCTTCTCTGAAAACCGGACCTGCCTGCCCATAATTCGGGAGAACACTGGCTTTGAAACGGCTAACTCAAGAGCCCTGGGGGCGGCTGCAGGGGACGCACGCCCATTCCCTTCGGGACCAGAGTCAGGCCGCCGCCCGCTCCCCAGGGGCGAGGACCAGATGACAGTCCCGCGGGGGCGGCCGGAGATTTATGGAGTGGCCCCACTCCAGGTCCGTGCCAAGGCCGGGCAGCTCCGCTTTCTGCTCGGTCTCCGCGAGGTGTCGCCTTCGGCCGGAGAAACCACCGCGGCGCCACCCTCGTAGCCCGCACTTATTTATTTATTTTCAAACAAGGGGGGCGCCCCTCTCCTCCTTCCAGCATTGAAACTAGAAACATCCAGCAGGCTCGATCCTAAATGGGCGCGTCCTCTCCCTGGCATTTTGCACCCTCGGTCTAGCCTTCCTTGGGGGTTACCCAGGAGCAGCCCCTCTGCAACGCTTTGCTCGACGTTGGCCTCGCGCTCGGCTGCACACAAACGCAGTCAAAGCGGGGGCTAGGTCAGCAGCCTCGGCTACCCTACTCAGCCTTCCCCCGGAGCCCTCCGGAAATTTTTTTTTTTTTTTTTT